TTATAAGTTCGTTTCAAATCTACCTATTTTTGAACGACCACTGAGACGGAAAATCCTACCGACCGGGTATCGAACTGAGAGCTCCTCGAACGGTAGGTGAAAGTGTTATCCACTACAACAGCTGGAAGCCAGGGGCCCCCTATTTTTTATATTGCCGGTATGCGCATCTGCCTGACAGTTTTTGTCCAGATTTGTTTCAAGTGGCCCTGAGCGCGCAATCCGATTTGTCACGTGACATGAACTGCCGCATTGCGCCATCAGCCGAAGACTGCTCCTTACCACCGGGACGTACTGACACTTCTGCGCCGTTATCTTATTTAACAAAATTACTTAACTTACACTGACTGGCTGTCCGTATCTGAAGCCCTGCAGCCTAGCTGACCATTTTTCTGCACCTGCCAACTGCGCCATTATTGATTAACCGGTTCTTGACAGCTTCCAATACATGATTCTTCGTCAGCTGTCTGTTCCTATAGCCTACTTGATACGAACTTCGTATAATCGAATGGCCGCAACCGTCCTGTGAGATATTAAACTGCAAGGACCTCGTACCCACAAAACGTCCTCCTGTGCTTCTATATCTTCGTTTACACTGGTGGAGAACAAAACCTCTATATTTGTGTAGTTTGTCCGTCAGGAACTAAACGCTTTAGGTAACCATAGGTTAGACCGATCTCGGTAGGACCAGACCAAGTCACACTGGCTTGGATGAAAAATTTGAGAAGCGACCCAGCATGGCTAGCAAGTACGCCTCTAACGCTGTTGACGTCCACACCCTAAGATTCATTGAGAGCCACGAAAACCGATGAAATTTGTCCCATATTTTCTCACTTCTTTCTATAGATATGTCGTCTCAGTTGTCAGCAACCTTGGTGTCCGGGAGCGCTTGATTCTCAGGAGTGTCTGGATCACTTTTTACGACCAAGCGCCATTGAGCTAGTGGAGTGCCTGTGTTTTGACGACGCTTGCACATTCAAGAGAGAGATATTTAGGCAAGCCGTACAGCTTGTGTAGGTACTGAAAAATTAAATATCAGTTGTTGACCCTTTGGGCGCTTTGCTCAGTATCGAGCAGGGAGACGATGTCGTGTATACATCTGGCAGCTGATTTCTACGGGGGTAAAATTAATTGGAAAAATGTTTTGACAAAGTTTTCTCCGAATTCTTCCGATGAATCGAGATGCACGGCACTAATAAGAGTAGTTAAGTCCGCATGAGCGGGTTGGTGCTTTGCGACGCATTACAGGCCATTTACGCAGAAAAACAGTACAAATACCGTTTTTGTGGCTGAGAATTTATGATGTGTTGATGATTGATTCAAAGAGTATAGAAGGATGAGTTTCGTGGTTTTAAAGGCCGTTGTGAGCACCATACATGTGCTGTAAATTTTTTGCAGTCATACTTTGCCCCTATGAGGGGACCTTTTGTGTCAGCGTTTTCACACATTGGAACGAGAGTCTGAGCTTTGGTCGGGTTGGTAGAGTGCATAGATGGACGTCGCCTAATTTCGCAAAGCGACCCCTGATATTAGATTTCACCTGGCTGATTTATTACTACCCGAGGTCGTTAGATTTTTTGCAACCAGTTTCGCGAAGAAACTCATTTCAGGGAAACGATTTCTAAGACTGACTGACTTGTAGGTTTGCTCTCAATAATTTTGGCACACGTGTGCGGTAGCAGCCTTGGAGCTGATGTAGTCTCACGATGTTTTGTGGGCGCTCACACAGATCCAAAACATCCAAAATGGGTAATCCGGAATAAGAGTACGAAATGCTTCCGCGCGCAGCCGCCGGAATCGTGGTGCATATTTTGTAGCATAAGAGGGAGTGTGAGAATTATGTTTCGTACGTATATCGGCATAACAAGACGAACTAGAAATCCATAATTCAGCGAAGCCTAACAACCAGCACGTATGTATTCGAACTGGCGAATATGTACAGCATATGGAATTTTAAAACAGGAGAATAATGAATAGAGCAACGAATAGAGTATCAGTCATTTTCATCACATAAGTTCATAAGGTGGGAACTATGTTAATTGCAAATCCTCAACGTAGCTCTTATAACCCAAGTCAGGTAGTGATGTTCCGTATAGAACCAGTCGTTTAAAATTGGTTTGCCAGTAAAAAGCGACGAATCAGAGGACACATTTGTGTGTTACTGATATTGACGTTTTGAATGCACTGAACGACCTGAAATGTATCACAAAAACTACGGGAAAACCGTTGCTCGCAAACTAATTTGAAAATACCGGTCAACCGGTGAATGGTTCGCTTGGCGCAGTCGACAGTCTCCCCTGTGAGGCTTCGAAAGTTCCATTTTGCTTGAGGTGTCCGAATAAACTGAGTAAGCATTTTAGAATTTTATCCGTAGGCTGAGCCTTTCTGTATATCCCCCTTGCAAAGTTTTGCGTGATGTGCCCGGAGGCGAAACGATTGGCCGCATGCGTGTGGTTCCATTGTTGTGAGAATTAAGTTCCGCACGTACATCAGTATAACCAGACGAACTAGGAATCCAGAATTCTGATCAGGGTATCAAAAAGCACGTATATTTTCAAACTGGCGTAAATGCACCACATACGGAATATTAAAAAAAGAGAATAATGAATAGAGCAATGAATAGAGTATCAATCGTATTCATCACATTCGCCACACCTTGAATTAGCGTGTGGATGTTTATAGTCCGGTGGTGGTCTTGACTGCAATCTTTCGGATCTTCTCGGAATGGAAACTTCAGACTCTTCACAGGTAGTGCGTCCCTCAGATACAACGTCTTGTTCGGATACCATAACGTCATCTACAAAGGATTCATTAGTTTTTGCAACAGCAAGAGTGCCGTTAACAGACTGACCACTTGTATTGAAGTCAACCTGGTCAATGTGCCTCCGGTGACAAGAGAGATCACCCAAATCGAGAATTGTGACCATTCGTTTACCATTTAATGAAAGTACTATTCCTGTAGCAGGTCGTAAATCATCACCCTTGAAAAATGTAACTTCAGCCGTTTGGGCACAGTCGAGACTTGTACGCAACGAACGAGATTTAAATAGAAGCGCAGGACTCTTCTCAGTAACGGAATGAACGGCGTTCCTGTATTGCATTAGACAATTATCAATCCCACGGTCCAATTCCAAAAAAGTAGTGGGAGAGCGTGCACTAATGGCAGATTTAGTGTTCGGACAAAATTCTCAGCAAGTCCATTCGACTGGGGATGTCGCGGAGCAGTAAACAGATGTCGACATCCAATACCTTCAAACCATTCCTCGAGGAATTTTGCAGTGAAGGGTGTGCCGTTGTTAGTAACCAAAACAATTGATACACCTTCATGGCTGAATACTTTCCTCAGGGCTTGCTGGGTGAATTCGGCACTTGGAGAAGTAGTTAGAAAAACTTCAGGCCAACGTGAATATGCGTCAACAACTACTAAAGCATAGTATTTGTGTTTTGTACGTATATCGGTATAACCAGACGAACTAGAAATCCAGAATTCAGCGAAGCGTAACAACCAGCACGTATGTATTCGAATTGGCGAATATGTACAGCATGTGGAATATTAAAACAATAGAATTATGAATAGAGCAATGAATAGAGTATCAGCCGTGTTCATCACGGGGAGGTATGTACATGAAACCAACCATTCTTCGTGCTAGAGGGACTTAATAATCCCTAACTCATATCAGGTTTCTCCGCCCTGGACTAATCAAATCCGCTCTGTTTATTGAGTGGTGCTTTGTCTTGCCTGAACCTAACCAAAATTAACTAAACATAAGTCGGAGAAATACACTAACTGGTAAACAAATTTGGTTTTGCAAGAGGCTCCACTGGACCCCGGATGAATCTCTCGTTTGTGAAGTTTTCGGGCAACTGAATGTGCTGCACCGGACCACCCATGTTCCAGTTGCCACGATATTCGAGAGTTCGCGATACATGTGTATACATAATGCCGTACTCATAAGGTTGTTGGAAACACAAGTCAGTGTTTCATACCCGATAACGTGTTACATGCTACACAACCCGTTGCCATCCGCACACAACATTGCATCACGTCTCCGCTCGGCTTGGCAGGTCCGGCTTAAGTGTTGTCACCAACACACCACTCTACGGAGCTTTCGCCTGACTCCACCACAACGGCAACACCGTTGTGTCCCTACAGTTTTGATGTACACCCTGATTTTGAGATTCCTGTTATCAGTTATCCGCATTGCTAACCCCTCCACCTACTCAACCTCATGTGCTCTTTCTGCGACTTTGGTCATATGCTCAAAAGTTTATGGCCACGATTCCTCCGCTTTGGTTTTAGGATTTTGTTCAAATTGACCACCGGGATCACGTCAACTCCCTTGATTCACCAGGGCCGTTGCTCTGGCTCCTGTTTTCCCGCAAGTTGCAGTTTTACTGTCGCGTGCCAGACAGGATGCCTCTTGTTTTGTCATTCTTTGTTTTTTAGCCACCGCGTTGAAAGTCTGAAGATTCGAGTTTGCTTCATCCCGATATATTCCCCAAAAGTAAACATCTGTGGAATCTGTCTCCCTGCCTGTGCCGGTTTGTGGGCGACCATGTCTACACTGAATGGTTCCCACTGTTAGTGACGACTCCCCTTTTCCGCACAATCCTTAGTGTCTGCAAATCCCACCAGTTGCTTTATTCTGACTATAATATGATCGGACCTGACGGTGCACCGCCAACCAGTTAGGAGCATACACTATTATTGTTTTCAAGATGTCTAGCTGGCTGCTTCCAGGTGGTTGGTGAGTATGGTATTTAGTTTCGTGGAGTTATGAAAAAACCGCGTGACGCTACCTTTAGCAATGTTAAGTGTGTCACATCGGTAGATCTGTACACGGCGCGTCAAAACATCATTGTTAACTCCGGGTATTCGCCAAGTTTTGGATACAACAGTAATGCAATGAGATGCGTCTCATACGTGTTGTTTCCCGCAGTTCATTTACACGGCTTATATCGTCCGTATGGGTATACGAGACATTATAAGGCCAACGAAGTTATTATCTCGGGTAGATGGGGTATGCACCGACTGAAACCAGGCTCTGAAATAAGTGAGACGAGAAAGGACTGGTGGAATTGGGTCAAACTGGCTTATATAAGGCTGTCAATACGCTCATTTGTAAGCCAAACTTTTTTCACGTTTCTCGTTTATGATATGTCAATATGGTGCTTGTTTGTAGTATGTTGGCCTTTTTCCTTACTATGAGATATGTGGACAGGATTATGTTTGAGAAGGCATCTCAAAACCGTATACAGAATTGTGGTTTACCCAGAGAGAGCTTTCGTAACTCTGTTTCCAGTCTTTCTTCCTTCTAAATATGGATTTCTGGCACGACCTCCTCTTCATTATACGATCACATGCTATGAATAGTTTAGCTGGCTAGCTACTGAGTGTTCGAGTTTCAGGAGCCTCGGTTAGGTGGGAGTTTTAAGTGCCACTGAGAGTAAGGCGTGGTGGTGCCCAACAAGAATTGGGTAGATTACAGCATTACTTCTGTGCCATATGATTTCGACCGTTGTGTGAGGCCCAGGTTGTAACATAACCCTTGTTCTCCCGGGAACTTGGAATTTTATGGCTCACTCTTTCGATTGACTATGCGTCTGATCATCATATGTCTGGAACTACCTAACCTAATTTCAGAGCCGGTTGATTCAAATAGTTGCAAATGTAACCTGCTCGGCTGTGGTTCATAGAAGGTACAATCTAAAGAGCCATGTGTGCTGTTAATAAATCTTAGAATCCATTTTTGTATGTGGTGCGATTAGCCGATTACTGTGTCTTTGCTAACCGGCAGCCAAGGAGACCATATTCGCCGCACCCGTGTATATACCGCCCATGATAACGTCATTTTAAAGTTTAGACTCGGTGCTACATTTTCAAGGGCATTGTGACACTGATGCGTTTTCTAATGAGCAATTTTTTGGCTGCTTACTGTTCATGCGGAAAGCCTTCTATTGACCCAACTGAGGGAGGATGTATGAAGGTGGTTTTTAACTATTGCCTTGCGTGAGTAGTGGGGAGAATGGCCGCCAACGGTTTGTAAAAATGGTAAATAAGTGGCATACGTCGGGGAACGAGTTGATGTTCTTGTGAGTAGTCGAACTTTTGAGCAACCATTTTGGTGGTTTTCCTTAGGGTTGATCCTGTTCTGTTCTAGAGTAGGGGATTTTGCCGATGTGTTGCAGAAATTTCTATTCCAAATCTGGTGGCGAACCGTTAAAAGCATTTGAATCTGACATGTGAAGTAATAAAACGCAGGAAGAGGACGAATGTCGGAATGAAGTGCACCAAACCAAAAGCGGTCGATACAGTACGCTTGCAGAGCACTTGTGACTTGTAGGTTGCGCGCAACTAAGGTAAATAACGCACGACATTTTTCAGAAAAGTGCGAGAGAATAAAAGATAGAAAAATCTAAAAGCAAGATGTCATGCTTGCTCGCCCGGAGCTGTTGGCGGAGTGGTTCATACACCGTCATCCTTGTAAGCGTTTGCAGAACATGCATAAAATTAACATCACACTTCATTCGTTCTCTAGATCGCGGGGCAAATGAAAGTGGTCTTGCACGCTGGAATAGCTCATTTGAGCTATTTGAAGGAGATTTCGCGTAAAACGCTGAACTGCCCGATACATGTTTTTTAGATCATTTCGAGAAAAATGTCAACCCCATTCACTACATGGAAGGACACTGAGAGCCCTTTCAAATCAAGATTCTGCCATCCATGTTGCGAGGTTGTAATAAATATTATCTGCCCGGTCGCTGAAATATCCACTTAATGCTGCGCGCTGTGCCATGGTTAAGTGGCGATCCATCAACGCCTTATCCTTATGGTTGGATATTTTGGGGTTCAAACTATTATGGAAATGGCGTGTCGGTAAGTAGCCGACTTTCGCCGTCGCTTTTGAAGGGTAATTGTTTGGTTCTTAGAGTCCCTCAGGATATAATAGCTCCCTCATCCCCCGCATATATTTTTTTGCGGAATACAAAAACAGCGCGGTACGTTCGAAATCGGTTTCGTTTTTCCCTCGTGCAAATTCGTGAAAATTTTTTTCGTTGTT